GACACCTGTCGGATATAATCCAACGCCCTTCGTGGTATTAGCCAGGGGAGTAGTTGTTTTCTGATAGGTGTCAGTCCATTAACCTACTGTGTAGGGTGTTGAGACTGGCCTGAACGAATTGTTCTTATAGATGATTTGATTTATAGCCAGTCTTCAAGTATGCCCACTGACTATACGTGAAAGAAAATATAATTAATGTGAGAATATAATAATACTAGTTTGTGCATGAAACGGATTATTGTGACCTGAAATAGATTGAACAATAATAAAGAAATTTGATTGACAAACGTACACTGCAAATGGAAGGACATGATGAAGAATTGAAAACTGATGAAATGAAATCACGCACCGATTTTATTTATAAATTCTCATCATCTTACGCAATAGCCCTCGAAGTTTTTCCTTTTACTTTTGCTCTAAGATTTTGAATAATGAAACTTTCCAAACCATGAAAGACCAAAAATTCCAAAATTACAATTCAGTAGTACTCATTCATCTGAAATGTAGTTACGAAATGACTAAACATGAACATTCAAAACATTGAGGAATAATTACTCAATGTTATGAATATTACTCAATAAAAAAATAGAAAAGCAATCCCTAAGGAACATTAGATAATAGTTCCAATTGAAATTTCGCATTAAAAATACAAACTTGAAACAAAATTTTTATTACATTTCAGGGATTATGAGTATTCACTTCAATAATTTTTTCTACCTGAATTTCATTGATTGAACTGGAATCTGGTGTTTCCAAACACCAGAACTATAATAATGTTCTTGACGTGCCTTCCAGGACATGAAATAAACTGATTCCTAACTCTCTATTTCCATTTTACAGGGTAAAATTCCACTCTCTAATACACATTAATGATTTTTGGTATAAATTTGCGGGGTACATTTACTCGTGGAGGTTCCTGCAAAATTCGATGGAGTGATTCGTAAAAGGGTGAATATTGGTCTGTTGAGTATGGAAACTTTTAGTATTTGTCATGCCACACTTTGCTATTTTCAAACTTTCGAAAGCATTGAAAAATCTAAGGTCATGTACCAATCTCAAGAATTTCACATGGTTTCCATTTATAATGTGGTTCAAGGCGCTGTTCTATAAGGCTTGTTGAACCACGCTGAATTTTACTTGTCTTCAAAATTAGATATATGCTGTGTGTTCTTTGAAACATTTTTCAATGTATCGCTTGGTCTGACTGATATACTTTTTTCACAGTCCTTAGAGCCTACTCTATATATCCCCGACTTTCCATTTCCCAACATTTCAACTTTTGGGTCACCTTACATTTGTAGAGGTTTCCAAGAGGTTTTGAAAGCCACCTTCACGTTTAATTTTTTGAAAATACGATCCAATCCATTGGTGCTTCATAATTCATATGGAAAGACAATCATCTATGAATCTATTTCGTTCTGGAAAGTCAAAAATTCACGAAGAGTCTTCCCTTCTTTAGTTAACTTATCTACTATATTTGAAGAATATCTGAAGAAAGAATCCCAGTTAATTTTCGATTTTCCAAAAAGACAGATTCAAAGTTTATTGTCCTTCCTCATCAGGTAACCCTAAACGATGTTGTGAAATGAAATGTCGAGATATATGACATAGGCATTGAGAATTATTTCGGCCAGACTGAGCGAGCCATCACAACTCGTTTCAAACAACATGCAGCACATTTTCGATTTCGGAGAACAGAAAAATCTAGTATCGCTCAACACTCTTTGGAAAAGGCCTTAGAATAAATAGATACTATATGAAATCACTAAGATCGGTACATATCTCTAGATTTTTGGAAGCCTTCGAAAGTTTGGAAGTAGGTAATTGGAGGAGGAGCTATGCATAGTGACTAAAGTCCTATTCCAAACAGATAAATATTCATCTTTCCATTAATCACCCTGTTGAAATCACCAAGAACTTCCACAAACTCATTTCCTGCGAATGTTTACCCGAAATCCTTGATGTCTTTCGGAAAGTGGAAGTTTTCCCGGTTAGATATTTATGAATAAAGGTATATTTCAGAGTTAGGATTCAGTTTACTTCATCTCCTAAAGGTGTCGACTTGGTTCGATAATATGATTGCAGTTCTTCAATTAGGAAAGGGTGCTTGTTTTGGATAAATTCCATCAAGATTCCAGAGCAAGAATTATCATTAAGTTATACCTCTTCCATCATTGATTTAGTGACAAATCAGAATCAGGAATTCCCAAAAATATCATAAAACTGACATACACGGAAATATCACTTAACAAATACTATTGAATTTGTAGATATGATGCTCTGAAATATTTTTGTGTTTCAGGTTTACTCCTTCTGTGGCATATATATGTTCAGTCTCGGATTATCTGTTATTTGGGTCTTGATTTTCGAAATTCCAATAATTGTTTTACAGAAAAATGGATATTCAAACGCAAATAAAATAATCTGAATTTTTTCTAGTTGTTATTGTAATTATACCGTTTTATACAGTTTATACTGTATTGCAGTTAACAGTGTGCGGAATAAATTCATTATTTCGGTTACTGTACATATATAAAAAAATCCCGAAACGCGTCAAATGTAAATTATAATTTGACATTCTTCGAAGTAAAAATGTCACCCCTACTTTCAATCCCCTTGGAATGACCGGTAATATCCCTAATTTTTTTAAATGGGAAGTAAAAGTTTAAGATATACCGTTTGAAAGGTCTCTTTATTCTCTATTCAAAAATGTTACTGCTTTCGAGTTTATTGCAGCAATGAAGAAAAAATAAATTAAAATCATGCGGTTACCGAAATTCGATAAAATACACTCAAAAACTAAAATATAATGCAAAACGTAATGAAATGTAAAATACGAAAAAGAATTATGGATGTTAATAGAACTGTTTTTTAACTTATTTAACATATCAGGCGTGACCGACATAATCAAAAGCGTTATTCGTTCTTTTAAGGTTTACTTTAGTTTAGTATTGTATACATTGCTCTTTACATATCCCCATAAAAAGAAATCTAATGATGAAAGATTAGGTGATTGCGCGGGCCATTCAATCAATCCTCGCCTTCCTATTCACCGATTGGGAAATGTTGTATCGAGGTATTGCCGGACATTAACTTAGTAATGTGGTGGTGCTCCATCCTGCTGAAACCATATCGTATTCACTGGAAGTTGAGGGTTTCCCGGATCAGGATATAAATTTGGTAAACTTGGAATGACATCATTTTGAAGTAGTGCCAAATATCACAATTCAAGTTGCCATTAATGAAAAATGGACCAATGATATGGTTTCCTACAATCCCTGCCCAAACATTAATCTTTTGAGGGTATTGCGTGTGTTCTTGTCTCATCCAGTGAGGATTTTCCGTTGAACAGTAGCGGCAATTTTGCCGGTTAGCATGACCATTAAGAGACAAAGTACACTCATCAGAAAACATAACGTCTCAATTGGATGATATTGTTATCCAACATGTCCATCATTTGCTCACAAAAATAAGTTCTATCAAAATCGTCTTCTGTGAGCTCTTGAGTAGATATCATTTTATAAGGATGCATTTTATTTTATTTTAATGTTTACTATCGATGTATGGCTAACGTTGAATGTAGTGAATGCCTGTCTAGTATGTGGGTTTTCCTCAAACTCAAGCGTCACATCTAATTTGAGTTCATCACTCATTGCATTGGTAGCTGCTTTTTTTATCAGCCCCACATGACCAAGCTCGCGAAATTACTTTTCTATTTTGCTTATTGTTCCTTAAGATATGGGCGGCGAATAAGGAATCATCTCATGAAATAGGCGAGCTACTTCCTGTTGTTTTCGGATTATATCTCCGAAGCCAATCATTTGTAAAACTGTTGTTTTATGCATTTCCGTTAATCTAACCATTTGTCAGACATGAATTTAATGAACTTCATATTCAAATTAAAATACTGACAACTACTGTTGTAACATACAAAACAAATTAACAAGGCGTTTCAAACTTAACGTTGCCACGGAAATTATTTGCAGTTTTTAAAGGATACCATCTGAAAAGAACATTGCTATGGTTTTTGCTTATTTTCTCATTATCATTACCACAATATGAAATAAATTTTGAGTGTAATGCAATAAGTTTTGAGTGTGTTCTATCGAATTTCAGTAACCACACAATTTCAATTTATTTTTATCTCAAATGTTGCAATAAACTTGAAAGTGATAACATTTTCACAGAGAAAATGGAGAGATCTTTCCAACGATATAGCGCAAGCTTATACTCCACATTGGGGGTTGGGGGTTGTACCTGTCATTCGACAAGAGTTGAAGGTAGCGGTAGCATTTTTCCGTTGAAGTATGTCAAATTACAATTTGAGTTTGAAATGTTTTGGGTTTGTGTTAAAATATGTACTGCAAAAATTTCCATTATACATTATTACTAAATTAACACTGAGTTGTGGTGAATTTATCATAACATTATTATCAATTTCTCAATCTGATATTGTTAGAATAGTTTTATATTCTATTCATTTGTGGTGTTTTTGATGTTGTTATAAAATTAAATATGTTGAATCATTAATCATTTCTTGTTGATGAATCAAATAATATTTATGGATCACACCAAATATTGCGTTAAAATGTAAACAAAATAATGTTAAATCTTCAAAAATTCCTTGTTAAAGTATTACAAAACGTTGTTCAGCTATATATAAAGTCGTGAGATGATATGATAGGTTTTAAAAAAACCGTGATATGTGTTTCGCTATACAATAGCTCTCATTTGCTTGAGAAAGCGATTGTATAGCGAAACACGTTTAGCGGTTTATGTATAACCTTTTGTAGTGAAAATCATACAATAAACTGTATTAATGAGTTTCAATATGGATGTTTATCAAGTATCGGCCAGTTTTATTCAAAAAAAGGGATGAGAGAATCTTCCAAAGAAAGGAAGGAAGTAATCAATTTGAAACTCTATACATTCATGTATACATTCATTCATGTATACATTCTTGTATAGACTTTCAAATTGATTACTTCCTTCCTTTCTTTGGAAGATTCTCTCATCCCTTTTTTTTGTATCAGATGGAGTAGTAGAAAGCCAAAAACTTTCTTTCCAAAAAAAATTAATCACTCCTAAAAATATAACCCCTTCAATTCAAAAAATATGTATTTTTGTCGAAATTATAAAACATTCTTGAACTCAAAAATCACAAAAATGAGGTACATAAAAGAGATCATGGTAGTTAATAGTCAGTTGTGGTAATTCAAGTTGTAAGGATGTGCCTAAAATTTCATATATGTGTTATATTAAAAAAAAATAATAATGATTTGCATTTTTTAACTTCCAAGATAACTCCTCGTTCTGAAAATCCGAAAAGAGTTGAATTTATTTTGGCTCCCACCACATCTTTGAAATGGAATTCTTCATCGCCAATTTCAGGAAAAACTGTTTTTACTGAAATATAAAAAAATCGTCAATAGATAACGTATATCAGAATTGGTATGAAATGGTGACATGGCCGAAAAATCATGTGGTTACAAACATGTATATCACTGGAGTTTTTTCCCAACACCAAATCGGTATTTTGAACACCTCGACACGTGTTTCGATCACCAAGTGATCATCTTCAATGAGGAAGATTAAAACAGTAAATTGAAACAGTTTCAATTTCCTCTTTGAAGATGATCACTTGGTGATCGAAACACGTGTCGAGATGTTCAAAATAACGATTTGGTGTTGTTAAAAACTCCAGTTATTTTCCTTACTACACCAAAGGTTCCAAACAGTGTATCATAATTACAAACAGTTTGTACTGGTGCAATCGATTACGGTGATCTGAAGATGGATAACTTTATGGTCTGATTCATGAACTTATAACGACTCCTGGTCTTGATAAGAAATATGTAGGTGGGAATCTTTTTGTCTATCGAGTTGAAAGTTTATTTGACTTGTATTCAAAAAAAATCATAAGTACTTAGAGTCTGGAAAACACAATTTCGATGTAGTAGTCTTGTCGGAAACATGGAATATTGAAGATGTGAGTACATTCAACATGCCAGAATAGAATATATTTTATAATAAATATTAAGATAATCAAACTGAATCATTATCTATGTGAACAACAATATCAATGAATCTGAAACAAAACTCAGTCGGACTATTGAAATCAGTCGTGTCACCATTTGCTTAACTACATCATACAGACCCCCATTTGCAAACGTAGATACAAACATATTTGGACAATATAGAACAGTTTGATGAAATGGTTGAGGCTTTCGCGGGCGATATTTCTAGTGTTCAATGATCAAAAATTTTCGGACGATGAAGTGTCAGCAGTTAATAGATATTCTGAAGAGAAATACAGTTCTTTTCATAAAAACGGTATCAAACTTTTTGAACGTCGCTGGGAAAAGCGTATAGAGATGTTAGGAGATTATGTTGAAAAATAAATCTTTTTTTTTCGAAATTTCTGTGTTTTTTTGAATTTTTCAACAACAGAACACAAGCACTACAGGAAAATCCTTAAGACGCTCTCAGAGCGGTGCCTGTGTGAAAGTAGCGATTCACATTAGAATTGAATCTCTGGTGATCAAATCCATTTGGGAAAACTTTCTCAGGAAATTTATTTCACATAAACGCAATTCTCCAGATGGAAGAGTTCTTAAACAGTGAAGTTCGAAGTGTAATGAGTTGAACCTCAAAACGATGAGCAACCACAGTTGGTCGCGTTCCAGGCTATCAAGGTTGTACGTGATGTTCGCGTCTCCAATAAGATGGATGGCTCTTTTCTGAATGGAATCCAGCAACTTCAGGGTATGTTTGAGGGCAGAGCTCCATACATGAGAACAATACTCCATAGATGGTCTGATCCAATCTTTATAAAGCATCAAAAGTTGCTGAGGCGTGAAGAATTTTCTGGTTTGGAACAGTGTTCCCAGCTTTTGAGAATTAGCCTCCGCAATTCCAGCGACATGATTGTGCCAAGACATATTGGTGTCCATTTTAACCCCCAACAAACTTATCGAAGCAGAAAGCGGAAATGTCTGACCTGACATTATTATATCCGGTTCGAAGATATTTATCTTATTGGAGAAAACCGATGCCTGGGTTTTTGTGATATTCAATCGAACCTGGTTACTTTCACCCCAATTCGAAATAACTTCTAGGTCCCCATTAAGATATGCAGCCTCCTGCTGCCGGTAAAGATGTGACTCAGTAGCCGATGTCGTGGAATCCCAATGAAATAACGAGACAAGTCTGCTGTCGTCAGCAAAGCAATAAATTGGATTCTTCAGATCATCTAAAGGAACAAATAGTTGCTGCCAGTCTCAACTTCCTACACTGTAGGTTAATGGACTGACACCTATCAGAAAACAACTACTTTCCTAGCTAATACCACCGAAGGGAGTTGGATTATATCCGAAAGGTGTCAGTGCAGGATTCTTCACTGAAGATATTGCTGCATATGCTGTTGGCGATACAA